GTGCGAACTTCATAACAAACCTGTTCATCAACTTTGAGCAGCTTGGGTTGGCTGGCCCTTACTCCATTGTCATTCTTGGGTTCTTTCTGTTGGGTGAGCTTGGCGATCTCAATTTCTGCTCTTATTCTTTCTCTCTTTATTCCCAGTCTTTCTCTCATTTTCTTTGCTCTCCTTTTCTTTTTTTAGTCTTTCTTCCTCTCCTCCTCTCTCTTCTGTTGCTGCTCTTCTCTCTTTAATTCTTGTTGTTGTTTAAGAAACTCTTGTAGTTCACTATCTTTTAACCCAATGTGCTCACCTTTTTCTACCCATTTATCAAAATCAGTTGACATGGTTATATAGCGTGATTGTAATACCTACAATATTTTCGCCATCACTAACATTGTGCATATATAGGCCTACTTATTTTCGCTGTCATTCACGTCTTCTTCTAGTGCCATATACCACTATATAACCTTGACTGACTCGCCAAATGTCAGTTTTGTATATATGAGTGGGCTATGATTCTTTTACAGTAGGTCGATATGACTTGTTAGCGATAAATTCGAACAATAAACGGACTACACACACAATCCAATTGTTTAAAATAATATATTCAAAACAAGTCAAACGTATTTACAAAAATTCTTTACACTATAGGTTATCAGTTTTATCTAAAATTCTAAATAATTCGCTTTTCTTGTCTGATTAAATTACCTTAGAATCCAATTGACAAGACTAATTCTTTTTCTCTACTCTTATCACAATAATATCAGTGAATAATGCACTTGTTACGACAGCGGAAGTCACGCGACGCTGGGAGCATGCACTATAGAGTTTCTCCAAGGATCATGAATTATCGAGGAGGCCCGAGTTTGTTCGAGACGCCGTCTTTTTTAGTATATAAACCTGGCGAGAAAAACCAGCGGCATGGCAGTGATAGATAGATGGAAGAGATATAGATATATATATATAGGGATAGATAATTGAGTTATGCGAACAGTAGGCACCGTAAGTAAAGTGTGTGAATCACTGTGATTTATAGCG